CAATATTATATTAGTTTTGGTGTACAACATAGTTATTCAACATTAATACAGCTAATAAAGTAAATAAGCTGTTGTTTTTAATGGACATTTTTGAAAAATGCATCGTTTTTCAGGAACATGTGTCTTGTGTTACAGTAGAAATCCTGTACTCTGCATTTAGCAGATGCTTAATAAATGCTGGCAGATTACATATAGTTAACTATATTACAAGAATTTTAGACAATGGTTCCAAGGAATGAGTATGTTGACAATGAACCAAAGTGCAAGAGCTTAGCAAGATCATTTGACTTTTCTAGAATATAAAAATCTTTAAGTCATTTTAGTTTGCATGATATACTTGTCACTACTGTTTTAGAGAAACAGAAGCTAAGTCATTTTCAAAGACTGATGAACAATCACCCATTATTTCTTGAAGTTGAATAACAGGAAACTGTACTTGTTTTTCAAACCATTTGGCAACTGTAAGAAGCTGCTGGTCACAAAATGCACGTCCAATAAACTGCAGTCCTATTGGCAACCCTTGGTTGGAGAGGGCCATAGGGACACTCACTGCTGGCAACCCTGAGTAAAAGAAAGAAACCATTGGTTGATTAATTCTCCATTCTAAGAAGCAGAGACCCCTTCTACTTTCCAGTGCTAGTAGATCCATGATAAGGCTTAAAAACCAACAAAAAGTATATGATATACATGCTTTTGTACCTTCCTTCGTTCACTTAATGATAAATGTTGACAATCACTGTTATTGGAACATCTTCATTCCTTTTTATAGCTGCATCTATTCCATTATGTGGGTCTACCATAATTTATTCAGCCATTTTCTATGGTTCGGCATGTAGGTTGTTTTCTGTGCTTAGCTATTTCACGTTATAGCCTAGTGAATTACTGTGTACATGTTTTCTGATATTCTTGAAAGTTTCTCAACGAAGATGACTGCTTCACCATATTTATCCTTTAATAAATATGTAATTAGATAATGCCAAATTCCCCTCCAAAAAAGCTGTACCATTCTGAACTCCCATTAGCAAGATTTTTTCCTGCAGCCTTGCCAATAGACTAAATGGTTGAACTTGTAAATTTTTCCAATTTGTTAGATGAGAAATAGTAGCTCAGGGTAGTTTTAATTCCATGTTTGAGCAGAGAAAG